CTGTCAGGGTGCGGTGGAGACACGAGTGTTGACTGGTTGTTGCTTCTATTAATACACTGTCTGATCCCTCCTTCCTTCCTTCTTTGTCTTGGCATTATTCCATGCCAATTTGGATCTCTTTCCAATTTCTTCCTATTCTCCTTCCTTATCCTTTTTATAATCTTTTTCCTCCCCTCTTTTTCTTCGTTACAATACACGACACAACATGTTCCAACATGTTACGACACGTCACGACGACACAACATGTTCCGACATGTTACGACACGTCACGACGACACGACACGACACGAAACGACACGACACGACAGGAAACGACAGAACACGACACAGAGATTTTCACACTCTGACCACTTGCTCTTTAACTCTCATTTACAATAAATCTTTACTTTTAACTTGACAAATTTGTGGGTTTAGATGAACTGCTTCCAGGAACTGATGTTTATGTTGGTAACACTGAAACTCTAGGAACTGATGCTTATGTTGGTAATACTGAGACTAACTTGTGGTAGAGTTATAATAAATAAATATATAAATAATACTAATTCTAAGGTTAAGTTTTATACTAATATAATTTTAAATTAATTAGGATTATATATTTCCAAATCCGATATTTTTAGTAGGTATAATAAGTCTACCGTTTGTTACATATTGATGTACTGTCACATGTAAACACTAGTTATATTAATACACATTAATATACTGTATAGTTAATGGTGTATGAGGAGTATGGTGTATAGAGGAGTATGTAGCTCGTGTGTGTGTAACATAGTGTAGTTGGCGTCCTGCAGCGTGAGGTCAGACATAACACGTGTCGTCCTAGTAACTGGTAGACTGTCAACTCAAGCTCTCCTCTCAGTCTAAGTGGAACTCTATATATATCTAAGAAACAAGAAGTAACTGTTAACTGTTACTGCCAGCTCAGTCTCTTCTCGGTCTAAATGGATAGCAGGAACATGTATCAGTAAACTCCTTTTATACACGGAATAAGGCAATGTTTTGGGTTCTATATTGAAGTGTTTAACTCTATCTAGTTTCTTGTACTGTACATAGAGGAACGAGAAGTCTTCCTCGTGTGTGTGTGTGTGTGTGAAACCGCCTCTCACACTTATGTGTAAACATTAAGAATCCACGCTGATCTGGGTTGAATGATAATACCAGGTTTGGATCGAATGTAACAACAGTTTGATGTAAACAACAAGTGATGTAACAGTTGATGTAAAACAACGGATGATATTAACAAAAGCTGATAAACAAATGATATTTATTAACTATTCTTATTTTACTATGCACTGTCAGGGTGCGGTGGAGTATACGAGTGTTGACTGGTTGTTGCTTCTATTAATACACTGTCTGATCCCCTCCTTCCTTCCTCTTTTGTCTGGCATTATCCACAATTTCTGATCTCTTCCACTCCCTCCTTTTTTCTTCCTATTCCTCCTCCTTATCCTTTTATAATCTTTTTTTCCTCCCCTTTTTTCAAATACACGACACAAATATGTTCCAACATACATGACACGTCACGACGACACAAATATGTTCCGACATGCATGACACGTCACGACGACACGACACGACACGAAACGACACGACACGACAGGAAACGACAGAACACGACACAGAGACTTTCACACTCTGACCACTTGCTCTTTAACTCCCATTTACAATAAATCTTTAGTTTTAACTTGACAAATTTGTGGGTTTAGATGAACTGCTTCCAGGAACTGATGTTTATGTTGGTAACACTGAAACTCTAGGAACTGATGCTTATGTTGGTAACACTGAGACTAACTTGTGGTAGAGTTATAATAAATAAATAAATATTACTAATTCTAAGGTTAAGTTTTATACTAATGTAATATTAAACTAATTAGGATTGTATATTTCCAAATCCGATATTTTTAGTAGGTATAATAAGTCTACCGTTGGTACATAGTGATGTACTGTCACATGTAAACACTAGTTATATTAATACACATTAATATACTGTATAGTTAATGGTGTATGAGGAGTATGGTGTATAGAGGAGTATGTAGCTCGTGTGTGTGTAACATAGTGTAGTTGGCGTCCTGCAGCGTGAGGTCAGACATTACACGTGTCGTCCTAGTAACTGGTAGACTGTCAACTCAAGCTCTCCTCTCAGTCTAAGTGGAACTCTATATATATCTAAGAAACAAGAAGTAACTGTTAACTGTTACTGCCAGCTCAGTTTCTTCTCGGTCTAAATGGATAGCAGGAACATCTATTAGTAAACTCCTTTTATACACGGAATAAGGCAATGTTTTGGGTTCTATATTGAAGTGTTTAACTCTATCTAGTTTCTTGTACATAGAGGAACGAGAAGTCTTCCTCGTGTGTGTGTGTGTGTGTGTGTCCTCGCCTCTCATACTTATGTAAAGACAGACCCACGCTGATTCGGGTTGAATGTTATTAATACCAGGTTTGGGATCGAATGTAAACAACAGTTGGATGTAAACAACAAGAGATGGGGCTAGCAGTTGATGTAAACAACGGATGATATTAATAAAAGCTGATGTAAACAAATTATATAAACTTATTAACTATTCTTTATTTTATTATGCACTGGTCAGGGTGCGGTGGAGGACACGGAGTGCTGACTGCTGCTAAGCTTCTATTAATACACTAAGTTCGATCCTCCTTCCCCTTCCTCTTTATCTGGCATTATCCACAATTCTGATCTCTTCACTCCTCCTTTTTTTCTCTTCCTATTCCTCCTCCTTATCCTTTATAATCTCCTTTTCTTTCTGTTACAATACACGACACAACATGTTCCAACATCATGTTCCGACATGTTACATGACACGTCACGACGACACGACAACGACACGAAACGACACGACATTTATTGCGAAACGACAGAACACGACACAGAGACTTTCACACTCTGACCACTTGCTCTTTAACTCCCATTTACAATAAATCTTTAGTTTTAACTTGACAAATTTGTGGGTTTAGATGAACTGCTTCCAGGAACTGATGTTTATGTTGGTAACACTGAAACTCTAGGAACTGATGCTTATGTTGGTAACACTGAGACTAACTTGTGGTAGAGTTATAATAAATAAATAAATATTACTAATTCTAAGGTTAAGTTTTATACTAATGTAATATTAAACTAATTAGGATTGTATATTTCCAAATCCGATATTTTTAGTAGGTATAATAAGTCTACCGTTGGTACATAGTGATGTACTGTCACATGTAAACACTAGTTATATTAATACACATTAATATACTGTATAGTTAATGGTGTATGAGGAGTATGGTGTATAGAGGAGTATGTAGCTCGTGTGTGTGTAACATAGTGTAGTTGACGTCCTGCAGCGTGAGGTCAGACATTACACGTGTCGTCCTAGTAACTGGTAGACTGTCAACTCAAGCTCTCCTCTCAGTCTAAGTGGAACTCTATATATATCTAAGAAACAAGAAGTAACTGTTAACCGTTACTGCCAGCTCAGCTTCTCGGTCTAAATGGATAGCAGGAACATCTATTAGTAAACTACTTTTATACACGGAATAAGGCAATGTTTTGGGTTCTATATTGAAGTGTTTAACTCAATCTAGTTTCTTGTACATAGAAAAACGAGAAGTTTTCCTCGTGTGTGTGTGTGTGTGTGTCCTCGCCTCTCATACTTATGTAAAGACAGACCCACGCTGATTCGGGTTGAATGTTATTAATACCAGGTTTGGATCGAATGTAAACAACAGTTGATGTAAACAACAAGTGATGTAAATAGCAGTTGATGTAAACAACGGATGATATTAACAAAAGCTGATGTAAACAAATGATATAAACTTATTAACTATCTCTTATTTTACTATGCACTGTCAGGGTGCGGTGGAGGACACGGAGTGTTGACTGGTTGTTGCTTCTATTAATACACTGGTTCGATCCCCTCCTTCCCTTCCTCTTTGTCTTGGCATTATCCACAATTTGATCTCTTCCACTCCTCCTTTTTTCTCTTCCTATTCCTCCTCCTTATCCTTTTTATTATCTTTTTCCTCCCCTCTTTTTCTTCGTTACAATACACGACACAACATGTTCCAACATGTTACGACACGTCACGACGACACAACATGTTCCGACATGTTACGACACGTCACGACGACACGACACGACACGAAACGACACGACACGACAGGAAACGACAGAACACGACATAGAGACTTTCACACTCTGACCACTTGCTCTTTAACTCTCATTTACAATAAATCTTTACTTTTAACTTGACAAATTTGTGGGTTTAGATGAACTGCTTCCAGGAACTGATGTTTATGTTGGTAACACTGAAACTCTAGGAACTGATGCTTATGTTGGTAACACTGAGTGGAAGAGATCAAATTGTGGATAATGCCAAGACAAAGAGGAAGGGAAGGAGGGGATCGAACCAGTGTATTAATAGAAGCAACAACCAGTCAACACTCCGTGTCCTCCATCGCACCCTGACAGTGCATAGTAAAATAAGAGATAGTTAATAAGTTTATATCATTTGTTTACATCAGCTTTTGTTAATATCATCCGTTGTTTACATCAACTGCTATTTACATCACTTGTTGTTTACATCAACTGTTGTTTACATTCGATCCAAACCTGGTATTAATAACATTCAACCCGAATCAGCGTGGGTCTGTCTTTACATAAGTATGAGAGGCGAGGACACACATACACACACACACACACGAGGAAAACTTCTCGTTCCTCTATGTACAAGAAACTAGATTGAGTTAAACACTTCAATATAGAACCCAAAACATTGCCTTATTCCGTGTATAAAAGTAGTTTACTAATAGATGTTCCTGCTATCCATTTAGACCGAGAAGAAACTGAGCTGGCAGTAACAGTTAACAGTTACTTCTTGTTTCTTAGATATATATAGAGTTCCACTTAGACTGAGAGGAGAGCTTGAGTTGACAGTCTACCAGTTACTAGGACGACACGTGTAATGTCTGACCTCACGCTGCAGGACGCCAACTACACTATGTTACACACACACGAGCTACATACTCCTCTATACACCATACTCCTCATACACCATTAACTATACAGTATATTAATGTGTATTAATATAACTAGTGTTTACATGTGACAGTACATCACTATGTAACAAACGGTAGACTTATTATACCTACTAAAAATATCGGATTTGGAAATATATAATCCTAATTAATTTAAAATTATATTAGTATAAAACTTAACCTTAGAATTAGTATTATTTATATATTTATTTATTATAACTCTACCACAAGTTAGTCTCAGTGTTACCAACATAAGCATCAGTTCCTAGAGTTTCAGTGTTACCAACATAAACATCAGTTCCTGGAAGCAGTTCATCTAAACCCACAAATTTGTCAAGTTAAAACTAAAGATTTATTGTAAATGAGAGTTAAAGAGCAAGTGGTCAGAGTGTGAAAGTCTCTGTGTCGTGTTCTGTCGTTTCCTGTCGTGTCGTGTCGTTTCGTGTCGTGTCGTGTCGTCGTGACGTGTCGTAACATGTCGGAACATGTCGTGTCGTCGTGACGTGTCGTAACATGTTGGAACATGTTGTGTCGTGTATTGTAACGAAGAAAAAGAGGGGAGGAAAAAGATTATAAAAAGGATAAGGAGGAGGAATAGGAAGAGAAAAAAGGAGGAGTGGAAGAGATCAAATTGTGGATAATGCCAAGACAAAGAGGAAGGGAAGGAGGGGATCGAACCAGTGTATTAATAGAAGCAACAACCAGTCAACACTCCGTGTCCTCCACCGCACCCTGACAGTGCATAGTAAAATAAGAGATAGTTAATAAGTTTATATCATTTGTTTACATCACCTGTTGTTTATATCATCTGCTGTTTACATCAGCTTTTGTTAATATCATCCGTTGTTTACATCAACTGCTATTTACATCACTTGTTGTTTACATCAACTGTTGTTTACATTCGATCCAAACCTGGTATTAATAACATTCAACCCGAATCAGCGTGGGTCTGTCTTTACATAAGTATGAGAGGCGAGGACACACACACACACACACACACACACACACACACGAGGAAGACTTCTCGTTCCTCTATGTACAGTACAAGAAACTAGATAGAGTTAAACACTTCAATATAGAACCCAAAACATTGCCTTATTCCGTGTATAAAAGGAGTTTACTAATAGATGTTCCTGCTATCCATTTAGACCGAGAAGAAACTGAGCTGGCAGTAACAGTTAACAGTTACTTCTTGTTTCTTAGATATATATAGAGTTCCACTTAGACTGAGAGGAGAGCTTGAGTTGACAGTCTACCAGTTACTAGGACGACACGTGTAATGTCTGACCTCACGCTGCAGGACGCCAACTACACTATGTTACACACACACGAGCTACATACTCCTCTATACACCATACTCCTCATACACCATTAACTATACAGTATATTAATGTGTATTAATATAACTAGTGTTTACATGTGACAGTACATCAATATGTAACAAACGGTAGACTTATTATACCTACTAAAAATATCGGATTTGGAAATATATAATCCTAATTAATTTAAAATTATATTAGTATAAAACTTAACCTTAGAATTAGTATTATTTATATATTTATTTATTATAACTCTACCACAAGTTAGTCTCAGTATTACCAACATAAGCATCAGTTCCTAGAGTTTCAGTGTTACCAACATAAACATCAGTTCCTGGAAGCAGTTCATCTAAACCCACAAATTTGTCAAGTTAAAAGTAAAGATTTATTGTAAATGAGAGTTAAAGAGCAAGTGGTCAGAGTGTGAAAATCTCTGTGTCGTGTTCTGTCGTTTCCTGTCGTGTCGTGTCGTTTCGTGTCGTGTCGTGTCGTCGTGACGTGTCGTAACATGTCGGAACATGTTGTGTCGTCGTGACGTGTCGTAACATGTTGGAACATGTTGTGTCGTGTATTGTAACGAAGAAAAAGAGGGGAGGAAAAAGATTATAAAAAGGATAAGGAGGAGGAATAGGAAGAGAAAAAAGGAGGAGTGGAAGAGATCAAATTGTGGATAATGCCAAGACAAAGAGGAAGGGAAGGAGGGGATCGAACCAGTGTATTAATAGAAACAACAACCAGTCAACACTGCGTGTCCTCCACCGCACCCTGACAGTACATAGTAAAATAAGAGATAGTTAATAAGTTTATATCATTTGTTTACATCAGCTTTTGTTAATATCATCCGTTGTTTACATCAACTGCTATTTACATCACTTGTTGTTTACATCAACTGTTGTTTACATTCGATCCAAACCTGGTATTAATAACATTCAACCCGAATCAGCGTGGGTCTGTCTTTACATAAGTATGAGAGGCGAGGACACACACACACACACACACACACACACACACACGAGGAAGACTTCTCGTTCCTCTATGTACAGTACAAGAAACTAGATAGAGTTAAACACTTCAATATAGAACCCAAAACATTGCCTTATTTCGTGTATAAAAGGAGTTTACTAATAGATGTTCCTGCTATCCATTTAGACCGAGAAGAAACTGAGCTGGCAGTAACAGTTAACAGTTACTTCTTGTTTCTTAGATATATATAGAGTTCCACTTAGACTGAGAGGAGAGCTTGAGTTGACAGTCTACCAGTTACTAGGACGACACGTGTAATGTCTGACCTCACGCTGCAGGACGCCAACTACACTATGTTACACACACACGAGCTACATACTCCTCTATACACCATACTCCTCATACACCATTAACTATACAGTATATTAATGTGTATTAATATAACTAGTGTTTACATGTGACAGTACATCACTATGTAACAAACGGTAGACTTATTATACCTACTAAAAATATCGGATTTGGAAATATATAATCCTAATTAATTTAAAATTATATTAGTATAAAACTTAACCTTAGAATTAGTATTATTTATATATTTATTTATTATAACTCTACCACAAGTTAGTCTCAGTGTTACCAACATAAGCATCAGTTCCTAGAGTTTCAGTGTTACCAACATAAACATCAGTTCCTGGAAGCAGTTCATCTAAACCCACAAATTTGTCAAGTTAAAACTAAAGATTTATTGTAAATGGGAGTTAAAGAGCAAGTGGTCAGAGTGTGAAAGTCTCTGTGTCGTGTTCTGTCGTTTCCTGTCGTGTCGTGTCGTTTCGTGTCGTGTCGTGTCGTCGTGACGTGTCGTAACATGTCGGAACATGTTGTGTCGTCGTGACGTGTCGTAACATGTTGGAACATGTTGTGTCGTGTATTGTAACGAAGAAAAAGAGGGGAGGAAAAAGATTATAAAAAGGATAAGGAGGAGGAATAGGAAGAGAAAAAAGGAGGAGTGGAAGAGATCAAATTGTGGATAATGCCAAGACAAAGAGGAAGGGAAGGAGGGGATCGAACCAGTGTATTAATAGAAACAACAACCAGTCAACACTGCGTGTCCTCCACCGCACCCTGACAGTACATAGTAAAATAAGAGATAGTTAATAAGTTTATATCATTTGTTTACATCAGCTTTTGTTAATATCATCCGTTGTTTACATCAACTGCTATTTACATCACTTGCTGTTTACATCAACTGTTGTTTACATTCGATCCAAAACCTGGTATTACTAAATATTCAACCCGAATCAGCGTGTGGGTCTGTCTTTACATAAGTGAAGAGAGCAGACACACACACATTGACACACACACGAGGAAGACGTCTTGCCCTCTATGTACAAGAAAACTAGATAGAGCAAATTTCAATATATAGAACCCAAAAGCACATTGCCTTATTCCGTATAAAAGGAGTTTACTAATAGATGTTCCTGCCATCCATTTGTGACCGAGAAGAAAACTGAGCTGGCAAAATGAAGCTAACAGTTACTTTTTGTTTCTTAGATATATAGGAGTTCCACTCTAGACTAAGAGGCAGAGAGCTTGCTGACAGTCTACCAGTTACTAGGACGACACGTGTTATGTCTGACCTCACGCTGCAGGACGCCAACTACACTATGTTACTTATGTTACACACACACGAGCTACATACTCCTCTATACACCATACTCCTCATACACCATTAACTATACAGTATATTAATGTGTATTAATATAACTAGTGTTTACATGTGACAGTACATCACTATGTAACAAACGGTAGACTTATTATACCTACTAAAAATATCGGATTTGGAAATATATAATCGTAATTAATTTAAAATTATATTAGTATAAAACTTAACCTAAGAATTAGTAATATTTATTTATATATTATAACTCTACCATAAGTTAGTCTCAGTGTTACCAACATAAGCATCAGTTCCTAGAGTTTCAGTGTTACCAACATAAACATCAGTTCCTGGAAGCAGTTCATCTAAACCCACAAATTTGTCAAGTTAAAACTAAAGATTTATTGTAAATGAGAGTTAAAGAGCAAGTGGTCAGAGTGTGAAAGTCTCTGTGTCGTGTTCTGTCGTTTCGTGTCGTGTCGTGTCGTTTCGTGTCGTGTCGTGTCGTCGTGACGTGTCGTAACATGTCGGAACATGTTGTGTCGTCGTGACGTGTCGTAACATGTTGGAACATGTTGTGTCGTGTATTGTAACGAAGAAAAAGAGGGGAGGAAAAAGATTATAAAAAGGATAAGGAGGAATAGGAAGAGAAAAAAGGAGGAGTGGAAGAGATCAAATTGTGGATAATGCCAAGACAAAGAGGAAGGGAAGGAGGGGATCGAACCAGTGTATTAATAGAAGCAACAACCAGTCAACACTCCGTGTCCTCCACCGCACCCTGACAGTGCATAGTAAAATAAGAGATAGTTAATAAGTTTATATCATTTGTTTACATCAACTTTTGTTAATATCATCCGTTGTTTACATCAACTGCTATTTACATCACTTGTTGTTTACATCAACTGTTGTTTACATTCGATCCAAACCTGGTATTAATAACATTCAACCCGAATCAGCGTGGGTCTGTCTTTACATAAGTATGAGAGGCGAGGACACACACACACACACACACACACGAGGAAGACTTCTCGTTCCTCTATGTACAGTACAAGAAACTAGATAGAGTTAAACACTTCAATATAG